ACGGTAGTAAGGCACCGACTTGTCAAAGGTGACGTCCTGGGAGGACAGAACACGGCGCGAGGTGGGGTGGTAAAACTGCCACCCTGGCGCGTCAGGGGGGAAGCCAAGGAAGACGCACGGAATAGCACGGGGGGACAACTTGTCTGCAGACAAGTCGCGGACAAATGTCCTAGATCCCCAGACCCGAAACGCAGACGCATCGCCAACCTTCCCAGTCCACCGCAAGGCGGGGGAGGTCTTTGGCAAGGAGACCCGGGGCTGAAGGCTAAGCTGATGCGCGGCGTAGTGAACCGCAAACGGCCACAAAAAATGGGGGGCAGCCGCATGCATCATGGACGTACAAGCGACGTCCATGACCATGCCAATGCGGCGCTCAGCGATCCCACTTTGTTGTGGAGAGGCCGGAAGCATGAAGGTCTTCCGGGTGCCCTGTGCATAACAGAAGGCTCCTAGACGGGCAGAGGAAAACTCCCCGCCTCTGTCCGAGTGCAGATGCAGAACAGGAAAGTCCGAGCCGAAACTCTCTCTGAGCTGGAGACGAGCTGCGCGGATCCAGTCGATCAACACCTCAGTGACGTCACCCTTGCTGCGCAAGGGGAAGACTGTGGTGTAACGCGAGAAGTCATCAACCACCAACAGGAAATAACGCTTGTGCCCCTGCCCACGGACGCGGGCGGGGCCCCACACGTCCATGTGAAGAGTCTGCAGCAGAGCCTCTGTCGGAGGAAACTCAGAGGAGTGAGGGGCGGCGCGCTGTCGCCCCTCGACGCAGGGGACGTAGGTAGGGCCAAGCCCCAGAGGTAGGGAAGGGAGAGACCGAGGGAGACCAGAGACAAGGACACGGGAGGCCATGCCTCAGAGACGAGGCAGGGAGGGGTGACCAAGGCGGTGGTGCCAAAGGAGAGTCTGGTGGGACAGTAGACGACACGAGCAGGGAGCAGACTCAGGACCAGACCTGGACGCTGCAGCAAACACCTGACTCAACGCAGCTACCTGGCCAGACTCAGTAGCTGGAGGAGACTCAGTAGTAAGGGTGTACAGGCTCGACCCTGGCCGACGGGTGAACGTGGCCAAGTGTCGGCCTGTCCGAGCACACGTGCAGTGGGTCACTCGCTGACCCGCATGAGTGAGTTGGTCAACCCCCCTATCCTGTAGGTCCGCTCCACTCACCAAGTTCGTAGAGAACGAGGGGAGGTAGAGACCTGACAGGGTGCCAGAGGGGGCTGCCAGGCACGGTAAGACAGTGGAGAAGCTAGCAAGGAGAGGACCCCCAGAGGGGTCCGCCAGGGAGACTGCAACCGGCCGACTGAGCGGCGTAAGAGTGGTGCGGTCTCGAAAGAAGGAGCGGGACGCACCCGAGTCAAGGGTGAAGGTGTGTAAGGCCTATGCCGACGTAGTACCTGAGAGAGCAGACTCACCAGCACCTGGGGCAGCAGACGCACTTGCACCTAGCGCAGCAGCCTCACCAGCACCTAGAGCAGCAGCCTCAATGCTCGGGTCAGGCGGAACACACAGGTAATAGTCACCCTCATCACTAGTAGGCAATGCATACATGGCAGTGAGGATAGCATCATAGTCAAGAGTATAGATATCGACTCGCAGCCGAAGCAGCTCCACCCAGTCGGGGAGCTCAGCCGCGTCGCCAAACTTCGTACGCCAGGCATCTCTCAGACGGGCAAAGCAGTGGGACGGTGCGTGACCTAACGTCCCGCAAGGCTGACCAGTCCGAGCACCAGTGCGAATGACGTACGGACAGCGAGCCTTACGTCGTGACCCGTCACGCTGCGCGTACCACTCACGAAGCTGCTGGGGCGAGAGGACCACTCGCGGACGACGCTGAGGCTGCACCCGGCCACTTCAAGTAGCTGCCGAACTACTCACTCCAGGACGACTCCCACTACTGCCACCCTGACAACCCCAACTGGTGTACCACTCACGAAGCTGTTGGGGGGTGAGGGACTCACGCGGGCGACGCTGGAGCTGCATCCTGCCACTACAAGCAGTTGTGGAACTACTCACTCCAGGACGACTCCCACTACGGCCACGCTGACAACCCCAACTAGCGTACCACTCACGTAGCTGTTGGGGGGTGAGGGACTCACGCGGGCGACTTTGGAGCTGCATCTGGCCACGCCAGGAGCAGCAGTTTCAGTGGAAAGAGCAGCAGCAGTAAGAGCAGCGGTAACAGTAGTACGGGCAGGGCAGTGGTCACCAGTGGTGAGAAGGGCAGGCGTACGACGGCGGCAACGGAGATGCCGCTACCACTGTAGAGCGAGAGCTCCACGGCAGCTGCAGTGGCGGCTGCTCCCGGGGCAGCTGCTGCAGTGGCGGCTGCTCCAGGGGCGGCTGCTGCAGTGGCGGCTGCTCCAGGGGCGGCTGCTGCAGTGGCGGCTGCTCCAGGGGCGGCTGCTGCAGTGGCGGCTGCTCCAGGGGCGGCTGCTGCAGTGGCGGCTGCTCCAGGGGCGGCTGCCGCAGTGGCGGCTGCTCCAGGGGCAACTGCTGCAGTGACGTCTGCTCCAGGGGCGGCTGCTGCAGTGGCGGCTGCTCCAGGGGCGGCTGCTGCAGTGATGGCTGCTCCAGGGGCGGCTGCTGCAGTGGCGGCTGCTCCAGGGGCGGCTGCTGCAGTGGCGACTGCTCCAGGGGCGGCTGCTGCAGTGGTGGTTGCTCCAGGGGCGGCTGCTGCAGTGGCAGCTGCTCCATGGGCGGCTGCTGCAGTGGCGGCTGCTTTTGCTGGGCGGCTCGGCGGCTGGCTGCCCGCTAGGGGCAGTGACGGGGCCGGGTAGGGGCGTCGACGGGGCCGCTAGGGGCGGTGACGGGGCCGCCTAGGGAGGGGAGCGGCGACGTGGCCACTATTGGCGGAGACGTGGCCGCGTTGGGGCGGCGACGGGGCCGCGTAGGGAGGGGAGCGGCGACGGGGCCGCTAGGAGCGGCAACGGGGCCACGTAGGGGCGGCAACAGGGCCGCGTAGGAGTGTCAATGGCGACGGAGCCGCTAGGTGCGGCGACGGGGTCGCTAGGGGCCGCGACAGGACCGCGTAGGGGCGGCGATAGGGCCGCGTAGGGGCGGCGACGGGGCCGCGTAGGGAAGGGAGCGGCTACGCGGCCGCCAGGGGCGGCGATGGGGCCGCGTAGGGGCGGCGTCGGGGCCGCGTAGGGGCGGCAACGGGGCCGGGTAGGGAGATTAGCGGCGACGGGGCCGCTAGGGGCGGCGACGGGGCCACTAGGGGCGGCGACGGGGCCGCGTAGGGGCGGCTACGGGGCCATGTAGGGAGGGGAGCGGCTACGGGGCCGCTAGGGGCGGCGACGGGGCCGTTAGGGGCGGCTACGGGGCTGCGTAGGGGCGGCAACGGGGCCGCGTAGGAGCGGCTACGGGGCCGCGTAGGGAGGGGAGCGGTGACGAGGCCGCTAGGGGTGGCGACGGGGCCGCGTAGGGGCGGCTACGGGGCCGATAGGGGCGGCTACGGGGCCGCGTAGGGGCGGCAACGGGGTCGCATAGGTAGGGAGGCGGCAACGGGGCCGCTAGGGGCGGCGACAGGGCCGCTAGGAGCGGCGACGGGGCCGCGTAGGGGTGGTGACGGGATCGCTAGGGGGCGCGAGGGGCCTGGAAGGGCGGCTACGGGGCCGCTAGGAGCGGCGCGAGGGGCCGTGAGAGGGGCCTCTAAGAGAGGTTGACAGAAGGGCAGCTCACAAGGCGCGCCTCGAGCAGGAGCGATTGTCGCTCCGGTCAGAAAAAAAAGTTTCAGTGGTGGGCCCAAGGAAGCGTTCCCACTAGGGAACCTGCTCTATACCATGTGAAGAAATGAGGAATGAATGAACTAGCAAGCAGGTGGGTACAAGTAGGAAAACCTAGAAGTGTTGTACCCCATATTGTCTACCCCACTACAGCCTACACAGACTATAGCATATGAGTTTGACAGTCGGCCACCCAGAATCCCACCAGGTTTGGCCTTAGCGCGGCCCTGCATGGCTTAGTGAAACCCACCAGGTTTCTACCGAAAGCTCCTCGCCCCCCCAAAAACTGAAGGGACCCATCTCGTTCTTACGCGCCGATGCATGCGCGACTCGGTAGAAAACGCAGGCGATTGGTCGGGAACATTAACGAGCGGGACTTCCCGCGCATGCAACTGAGCGTTCGCAAAAAAATGGAGCGCAGCTACTGGTTCTGTTGTCTCGCATCTTATCGCGAACAAAATTCGCACAAGGAGTGGGTGGGTAAGCGCACCGCTTGATTCGGTTTGGAAACAGCTGGCGCGATCTGGTAGGCTCCATGCTGGCTGACACATGCAGCAATTCGAACGAGCCACACAGCAGTCGCTGTTTGGTCGAGGCGTGATCGCGGTAGCGTGTCAATCACGTCCACGCAGAGTCCGGTCATTACTCTGTGCATGCCCACACTTTCGCCTTTCGCACGCTAGTTGCACACCAAGCTCTTCCCTCTCATGACCCATTGGATTCACCGGACTTAGACGGAAAACGGGACACCAGGGTCGCGGTTAAGGTGTGTGTCGCTCTCGAATGTCCGCGAGCACCGCGGTCGCAGTCACACCCGGGTGTACAAGTAGTGACCGCGCATCATGTTGACGCGCGCGGTGAATAGGAGTAGGGACATTATCGCACGCCGCATGCATACCGTGAATTACGTCGCGGCGCCAATACTTCACGAGTCCATCAATGCTATAGGCGACACATCCGCGCAGCAAATCCATAATACCGATCCGCCTCTCGCCCCCTTGCAAGGCGTGCACGCGCTCAACCCCACATGGAGCATCCCATACGTGCAGCTTGTGGTTATTGGGTCGCGGATGCCCGTGTTCCACCTACAGCAACTGGTGAACGGGCTCCACCTAGCACCGCGGCCACATATTCTGTTTGTGGCTGGGACGGTCGCGTTTCAAAATCAGCAGGATGATCTGACCGCGCATGGAGTATCCACGCCTCATCCCGGACCACAGGTTGATGGACAACACACCGCGTCCCCGTTCGTGCCCACAAGCCAGCTCTATGGGATTTGTAGGGCCGCAGTACGCGAATGTGGGATTCAGGTACGGGTACATCGGCGATCAACCACCGCCCACAGTGCACGCACCTGCGTCTGACGCGACTCCTCCAGTCGCCCCGTCAACCCCATTCCCCAGCGCGATCTATCAGGAAAGCCAGCCAACGGGGCAAGCCCCGCCAGACCCTAGAGAACCAATAGTGGTCGGTGTGGACACACAGCCGCGAACAGACGACCCATTATCGAACGCGAATACCGGCGAAATAGTACGTGAGGTGAATGGTGGAGCGGGGATGAATGCAAGCGCGCGTGCACATTCACCGCCAATATGGAACCTGAACTCACTGTTGCCAGGAAACCCGGACGTCCACATCCGCACCCCCGCGCAACCGACCGCAGTGGACGCGACCGGTGTAGGTGGGAAACCACAGGCGAACGCGGGGAACGCGGGACGTGGAGCGTGTGCAGGAGGAAACGCGGGAAGAGGAAGAGGGACTGGTGCAAGGGGAAACGCGGGAGGAGGAAGAGGGACTGGTGTGAGAGGGAACGCGGGAAGAGGGACAGGTGCGAGAGGAAGGGGTGGGAGAGCGAGCGCGGGACGTGGGACCGGTGTGGGAGGGAACGGAGGTAGTGCGAACGGGCGGAGAGCGCCTGGGGTGACAGGCAACGGCGGCAGAGGTAACGGTGTTAACGCGACCGGAGGTACCGGGAACGTGCCAGTCAGTAGACCGTGTATAAGGAGGCGGCGAGTCGAAGTCGTGCCGCACACGGCACGCAACGTATCGAGGGGGGGGAGCAAAGGGCAAAGCAATGAGGATGACGAGGAAGACGCTGACGATGTGGACGACAGTTGAAACCCGAAAACTACCTTTCGAACTCGCTGTCCGCGCTCAACGAGGAGGAGGCGGAAGACAACGAACCGGTGCGGGGCACGCGAACGGACTTGGAGGTCCCCATCGCGGATTGGAACGGGCTTGGTGTGGAGGACACGCCGGCCGCAAAAAGAGAGATGTGCATGGGCATCCTCTACGGTGTCTCTGAGGCCACGCTGAAGAAGTATCGCGGTTGGGCCAGAGAGTACAAGCTCTTCATGGTGCACGAGCTGCACAAATTGGACGTGAGTAGGTTCGGTGAGGAGGCCTCGTTGAGAAACGCGAACCTAGACGAGATCGGGGCCGCGCTCGAGCAGAACATGGGTGGTGACTGGAAGATGGCGGAGGGCGACGTGCAGTGGTTCCACGGCCCCGAGACGAATCCGTGGTGCTTACGCAAATATGTGACCTTCCTCGCGAACGAGATGGTCGCACAGGCGGACAGGATGGCCACCCTCAAGCGGCCCAACAAGACCTTGAAGAAGAGAAGCCATTGCTCCACTGCAATGCTGATGGGGCGTCTCAAGGCTTTGAACCTCCTCATCAAGCTGGACGGGGCCATCTTCAGGAAGCCCGTTCTGAACCTGCTACGCGACTTTGCGGAGTGTCGCATCTGGGTCCGCGTTCAAGTACGCGACCAGTACAAGCGGTTAATCGCGAAAGTATACGAACCTAGTGAACGCGTATGTCCAATGAAACCGCGTTCACTAACAGACTCACTATCGTCCAACTGGTTGTGCAGGGAACACATGGATCGTCATCGAGGCACGGCCCCGGACACATACAACCCAGACGAGTTCAAGAAGATGATGCGGAAGACCAGCATGGCCGCCATCTTGAGCAACTTCACACTAGCCAAGCAACGATACACGCAGGCAATGCATCGCGACCTCTGCATCCGGACGATGACCGTCCTGGGTCATCACACACTAGCCAGCGGGTGCACGATCAGAAACCTCCAGCTTCCAGACATGATGATGTGGAAGCTCGACGCAAAATCCGAGACGGACCCAATGCGGAACGCGTTCGCTTTTGTCTGCGCGTGCAGGACGGGCAAGACAGACAAGGACTTATTGCTCAACTACATCTCGGCAGTGAGACACATAGATTGGACTCTGTGCGCGGTCGGAGCCACGCTGCTCTGGCTGCACTGAGTGTACGACTTGGTCCCCATCCTCTACGGGGACATAGCCCCCCCTCTCGACTTCACGGAACCCTCGACGTGGTACGACCAGTACCTCTTCTTCCCCCTTCGCACGGGCATAGAGAAGCAAATACCGTCCACGACTCATCACGACTGGGCGGCGAAGATTCTGGGGGACGCGGGAATCACATACTCGCCTGTGGTTCACGCGACGAGAGCTGGTGGGGCTCAGCACTCGTCTGCGGACGGAATGCCCTCTGATCAGCTGGCAAGACTGGGGGGTTGGCGCTTCATCGACGTGATGACTAAGCACTACCTCACAACTATTCCGAGGGAGGCCGTGCTCCTGAAGGCTGGCTTCACAGGTGTTGATGGTGACTACTTCATAGGTCGCGCAACTGTTCCGGTGAGTGAGAAGCTGGAGAAGCAATTGAGGAAGCACATTTTCCCCTGGGCCGCACTGGTCAAAGGACAGAAACAGGTATGTGTGGGCCGCGTACAGTAGTATCAAATGACCGCGATCATTCCACATAACCCTCGGGCACCGCGCTAACTACCGCGTTGTTGTGTTGCACAGTGCCATGATTACAACGGGAAGATGGTCAGCGAGGACAAGGCGGAGAAGCAGGACACCGCGGGTCTAAACATACTGAAGGAGCTGGATGGGGAGGCTAGGATGGCGGTCACGCAAGACCTGACCATGTATTACATCCACCACCCGTGACACCCGTACGTGGTCAACAACCCGCTCTGCCAGACGGAGGAATTTGCGCGGTGGGCAGCAGATGTCTCCTTGGCAAATCAGCTGGCCATAGTACAGCGTAACACATCTGCACTGACCCATCCCGCAGTGCGTACTATATGGTTGCGTTACTAATTCGGCTGTAATGTCTATGAGTATCCATCACAATATTGCGTTCGCGTTCTGTATATGCAGGAGGTCAGTACCATAATGGACGCACAGAACCAGGTGACCGTCCTCACTGAGTACCTGACTCGTTTGCACGGACAACACCAGGCTGGGTGTAGAGTTGGTAGCGACTCATAAACGGGTGAAAGAGCTGGAGGGTCTGTTGGAAGAACGCGATCGGGAGCTGGCCGCGAAAGATAAACGCGTGAATGATCTGGAGGCCCAGCTGTCGCGTCTCACCGTGAGCAGCTCAAGGCCGACCGCGGATCCGAGTCCGGCAAACACTCCTGGAGCCACGGCCGCGCCTACCAATGCCGCAACCCCCACCAACCAGAGAACGCGTAAGAAACCCGCACAGCCGACCAGGGACGAGACAATTCGGGACGCAATCATGAAACCATGGGTCAACGCGACCAAGCCATCGGACGGATGGAAGTTGTACAAGTCCACGCACCCGCTGATCCGCGAGAGTCCAGAGTCGCTCTTGTCCCGACCCCGCAGTGCAGTTACGCGAATGGCCGAGCTAATTGGGAAGGAGGGAGGCGGCCAGAACGCTGCCTAGAATGCGATAAACCGTCTAAAGCGAGTCATGGACTTCATCTCCCGCAGGGTGGAGCAGGGAAACAACATTGCGGTCGTGCTCGATAAGCTCGACCTCGTGTCTCGAACTGTGGGCATGCTGGGTGTGTCGGAAGGTATCGCGGTGAAGAAGAGTGTTGACTTGAACCTGAGCGAGCTGAAAAAAGGTTCTCCGGCGGAGGTGCAGTTGCGGGTGAAATGGATGCTGGTACGCGACCGCATGATCGATGCCTCTCTACCCGCGTCAGAGTTTCCGGACGCGTGGCCTCAGTACTGTGCCCAGATGCCCCGACTAGCTTAATTGGGTGGTCCTACTATGTGCGCGTTGGGAAATAGCTTTAGATTGTGTTTCAAACAGGTACACCCAGTACCATACTACTAGATTCGGGTGTTAATTGTACCGCGGTTGAATTGTGTGGTCTGTACAGTTTGTTCACAAAAAAATGCGTGTTTAAGGTGACCGCATACACGTTCACATACTGCCCGCGGCTATTTCTCTCGTGCATACTTCCCATCAGCGACGTGCCTATTTAGGGGTGATGTTAGGTCAATGCCCATGGTGGATTTACGCAAATCCCTGGCCGCGTGAGAAACAAAAGAGTTGAATTACGAAAAAGGGGAGGGAGTACACAACACAGACAGAATGGCCACTGCGAGAAAATCTCAAGCAGGGTGGGCAAGCTACCTACACTACCAGGAGTCTCATGCGACCACACATACAAGAGTCTTTGTCACCTAGAGTTCACATCCTCTATACTACCACCTTCACGCGGACCTCTTCTTCGCGGACACCCGCTTCTCCGGCAAAGAGAGGTAGAGCCTGTTGGCCTCCATTGCCTTGGCCGTGATCTTGCAGTCGCACCAGGTCATCAGCACGTCTACTGCCTCGTGCGCGACCATAGCGACTAAAGTGAGGTCTCCAAGTCGTGCACCAAGACGGTTCACGGCCGCGGTCTCAATCTTCTCCGCGATCTGCTTTGGTGTGACCTCAGAGGCTTGCTTGCGAGCATTCTCCTTCCTGGCCCACTTGAAAACCGCGGCCACGATCGTGGCGTAACCGTGGGCCGTTTCTTCTGGCGTGCCAGCAAGCTGCGTCGCGGAGTATCCAGCATCATCGATAGCCTCGAGTTCGAGACCGTTGCTGGTCTCCCACACCATCGCGATGGCGCACGCGACCGCACCAGCGAATAGGCCCGTTTGGGCGCCGGTGACATCGGGCTCCTCATCTGCAGCCTCCTTCCCCACCGCGGCTGCCCAAGCTATCGCGTTGCTGATCGGGGACCCGCGGCGGGTGAGGTCGCGGTAGGCCTTGAACATGTGGTGGTACCTGCATGCATGGGGTAACACGCAACATGGTTAGGCACGGGTGTGACCGCGTAAAACAAATGAGTGATCAGATGACCGTACCTGTCAACATTGCCGCAAAGGTTGTGGAGGTGCATGGTGGCGAATAGCCCGGTGCACAATGTCCCGGCCGCGGAGATGTCCTCGGCCCACTCACTCTTCAGCTGCGCAGTCAGCTTGAGCCTGGGGTCTATCTTCTTGTCGTAACACATCACCGCGATCGCGGTCAGATACTGCACCTCTTGGAGAGAGTGATGTCCGAGCCAGCAACGTCTCCCCCCCAGCCACGGTTCGCCCACCATCCCCTCCCCACCCCTGGGCGGAGGGCGGATACCACAACCCTTGCGCTTGCCGCTTGTTCTGCTAGTGTCGCTTGGCCCCAAGAACCTCTGCATCACAAGCTCAACCTCATCGTCCGCGTCCGAGTCGTCGTCGTCGTCGTCGCGTTCACACTTCAACGCGGCTACAGGAGGCTTACAACCACTGCGGCCCTGATTCTTCGCCTTCACATCTGCAGAGGGGGGGATGGCAGGGGCGATAGAGCTGGGTCCAGGCTGTTGTGGCGCGACCGCGGCGGTGTTGCCTGACGCGGGCACAATCGCGGTGGTGATGGCGGTGGTGGTGGAGGTGGTGTTTGGCGGGGCGTCCTCGACCTTGGCCTTGCCTTTACCAACTTCCACCCCCAAGGTCGCAGGCGGTGGTCCAGCAGCGGCAGCAGCCCCCCTGTTGGTCCCCGCAGCACGTTCGGCGACCGCGCCACCCTCTTCAGAAGGTCGGTGATGCTATGGATCGCGACCCCTTTCTGCCGCTTCCCACCCCTGCTGCTCTCACACTTACCTGCCTCCTTGTCCGCGACCCTCTTCCCTGTCTCCTTGTCCGCGACCCTCTTCACTGTCTCCTTGTCCGTGGCCTTCTTCCCGACCTCCTTCTCCGCGGCCATCTTCCCTGCCTCCTTCTCCGCGAACTCCTTCCCACGCGGTCCATCGGGGACTTGTTGCAGTGCTGCACGCCCGGAAAGCATCGCGATGATGATGTTGAGGGAGTTCGTGACGCCACTAGTTGTGATCGCTTTCTCGGCGGTACTCGCAATGCTGGATGACGGGCCGTCTATCTTCCGTGCGACCTTGTCTGTGAGCTTCTTCTGGGCGCTCTCTATGGAGTCCACAACCACCCCCTTCATGCTCCCCGCGCAGTCTTCCAACCGGACCGCAGCACGTTTCAGCACCTCCCGCATGTCGCGATTCTCCGCCCTGTCCTTCGCGGCCAGCTTGGCTTCCCTGCGTATCACCCGGTCCGTGTTCTGCACGTGGGTTAGCACCTTCTCCACCGTGGCCTCGAGTTCTTTGTACTTCAGCGTGATCACCACCGCGAATTCAGCACCGGGCACCGCGGACGCGATCTCATCCAGCTTGCGCGTCTGATTTTTCAACTGCTGGTTCAAACGGAGGATCTCCGCGGCCAGCTTCTCAGGAGCCATCTTCACCAGCTCCGAGTGTTTCCGCTTGCCCAAGACCGGACTCTTGCCCGCAAACTCGCCCGACGGGGTCGCGCTACCATGGCGGGGGGACAGCACAGCCTGAAGACTGCGAATACTCTTCCCTGCACCCGCGACCGCGACCGCCGACCGCCCGGAATTGTTGGCCGCGATTTCTGCCACCTCCTCCTCCTCTTCCTCATCATCTGCGTCGTCCTGTTCCTCCTCCATTTCTTCCAACCCTCCAGCTCCAGATCACCGCGCTGGTGATCCTCCGCGGCATCCTCTTCGTCTTGACCACGACCCTGACCCTCTGCCTCGTCTGCCTCGTCTTGACCGCGACCCTGACCCTCTGCCTCGTCTGCCTCCTCTTCATTGTTGTCATCTCCACCCTGCGGCGCGTTAACAGGGGCGTCCTCGTCGTAGTCAGAGCTCAAGCCCTCTTCCTTGTTGTCCGGTTTCCCCTGGTCCCCCTCCCCTGTGTTCGCGAGTGCAAGAGCTGTGTTGAGAGCGATGTTATCGCGTTCGGACACGTGGGATCCCGCGGGGTGTTCGTGCGACCTCTCACGGTCATTGCCGTGAGCATCCCCCCCATGACCGTCCGCGATGCCGCACCGGGATCTGAACGCGAGCTCTTCAGCGGCGCGTTTCGCATCCTGCCGCAATGTGTTCAGCGTCCTGGAAATTGGCTTGGCAATGCAAGGAGCAGGGTCGTGTCCAACAACCGCGTCGAGGTCGTTGAGAACTCTATCGAATGCAAACCCACATGCGAGTGGACCGCAAGGGGGCTTCCAGGAAGAAATATCCTGAAAGGAAACAGGGTGGACGGAATGTAGTGTTAAACGCGGCCAAATGAAATGCGACATATAAACCGCGAACATTAACAAACTCACCAGGTCCACATGGCGCGTCGGCTCGCCCAGCTGCCCTGCCCGGACGCACTGGACAGTATCGCTCCCGTAGTAGAGGCAAACACGACCGCGAAACCACCTGCACGGTTCAAAATACGTATCTCAGACACGGAGGTATAATAGCAACCAAGCGTAAAAGCAGCACCTCTGCAACATACGTACTTGACAATTTGGTCCACCGTGGCAAGATGCTCAGCCGCGGCAGTGGGGTGACAAACGCGGACAAAGCGGGTTTTCCAGGGTGAGGTCGCACAGGAAACGGGAAAAATAGACACAGAATCATCGTGGTCGGGGTGTGGCGCTAAGCGTGGAAACACCCCGGACAGGAATCAATGGTTTCGCGAGAGGAATCAAGGGGTCAATAGATGGATCGGACGGAACTGTATGCAGACGAAAATGTCACGCGAATACGATTTACGCGACCGCGATGCAAGCATCTGTGGATGACCTAAACAAGCCTTAAGCCGGCGAGATGCGACCCCAAAAAGGCGCCCTTAACAAGCCTG